GGCTGTCTGATGGCTTGTCTAGCTGTCATCAAGTTTCATTAAGGGATTTGCTTAACACACAAACATACACACATGCAAGTTAATGTATAAAGTTGAGTCATGCAGGGGCTGTTCTTTGCAGGCAGGAATCATTATTGCCAGAAACATTCCAAAATATGACCAAATACCAGTCAGCTTGACATGACCTCTTTCTTCTCCTTTACTGAGCCGTGAAAGAACAGTCTGTACATGTACAATAGGATAAAATAAAAGAATCCTTTATTAGTCCCACAGTGGGGACATTTGCAGGATTCCAGCTGCAGAGTGGATACACTGTAAAAAAGGATTTGGGGTTTTAACTGTTTCAGCTCATTTTCCTAAGTCAGTTTAACTAAAACGTTGAAATACTAAGTTTAACTGTGCCCAACTAATCAGTTCAATTCCTGAAGAAGTAGCCTGGTTGCCTTAAAAAGATAAGGTAATTCAAGAAAATGCTTAGTTGAACCAACCTTTATTATAATGTTTGCATTACTAAAATGTATGAATTGATTCAACAAGATACTTAGTTTAAACAGCTTATATTTTCATGTTTCTACAACAAGTTTGTTGGTTTAACTAGTTTTTCAATGTTGGCTCAACTAGGATTAAGGTTTATACAACTTAAAATGTCTTGTTGGTATCATTAAAAAACTTGTAGGTTAAACTTAAAGTATAAAGTGGATGGAACTATTTTATCAGCTTCACCTTTGTCACCTCTATTATTTATTCTAAGTTAAAGGAACTAAAGCTCATAGGTAGAAAAACAAGATTGAAACAAGTATAATAAATATGTAATCACACAGTAAAGGTATAATAAATAAGTAAAAAATGTAAAAAAAACAACAAAAGCTAAAATATGATAGAGTCGGAATGAATGGTTGTTAATATTGCACAGTGGATACATTGGATTTATATTGCACATGAATTAATAAATGAAAGGAATTGTCAGTTTTTGGTATGTGTGGTTTACTGGGAGCGGTGTTGGTTGTGCAGTGTGACAGCGGCAGGAAGGAAGGACCTTTGGTATCTCTCCTGGCAGAGTGTTTGCAATCGAGTCAATTGTTCTCACCCTGTCTCTTTCCTGAATTGAATTATTTTTACAGAAAAACTCCCTGGTAATATTGTATAGTTTATTTATGAATGTAGCTTGTGCAAATGACACACTGCAGTCAGAGTTCTTAAGTATCACAGCAGCCAGTAGAGAGCACTAGTGTATCATTTCTTAGGGCCTCTTATACGCATGTATGTAGAGGTTAGAATAGGTTCATGTGAGTCCACATAACAATATTTATTTATATTGGGTGACACATTGGGAGCTATTCAAAGCTAAACACATAACAAATAAGTATCGGAAATTAGACAAAACATTACATCAAATTGCAGTAGAATATAACCTTGGTAATGAAGAACACTTCGCAAAGATTTCTGTAATTTGACGTGCTTGTGTACAAAAGCGTAACATTCTGTGATGCGATCCTGTGAAAAGAAAATAAGCTGTAATAATTAGATATTACTCCCCTTTAGTTGCAAAAGGCCAGGCATCTGTCTTGCATTTTGTCGGCCGGATTTCCAAAAAAAAACAAGGGCACAGCATGGAAGTGGTTCCTTTCAACTGAGGTTTGTTTATTCATACGCAATGTGCCAAAAGCCCTCAGAGCTAGAAAAGGAGGAAAAACACTGCACAGTGGAAGATAGCGGTGCAACGGATCATAAAACTCACGGTTCGGACCGTATCACGTACCATAGTCACAGATCAGATCACAGATCAGGACAAAAGAAAAAAAGGGAGGAAATATGACTTTTAGAGATCCCTAATCACATTTCTTTGCCGCCGACACTAATTGCAGATGATTGATGATCCATATTGGCAGATACAGATCCCTTTGTTGTTTGATTATAGCAGCCGGTCTACAAGGCTCCAGAGTATTATTATTTTTTTGCCACCGTCCAAAAAATCATTTGAACTGCTCTGACGTCAGTGTAAACCACCAAAGATTCTAAATGTTATCCTTTACTTTGTTACAGTAATTTATTTCAAGTTTCTCACCAACACTACAGTTTACAAGATTACATAGGAAACACATCATGATACGTTATAATACCTTTGCCCGATACTCATTTTCAATGAACAGAGCCTGAACGCATCATAATGTAAGTGAATGTAACCTTCGTTCGTTGGCCGTTAGCAGTGCTGCCATCGTTATTAGCTCTCCTGTCAATTTAAATACGGATTGGTTGTTTACAATGTAACATTATAAGAGATCGGGGACTAGAAAAGCATAAATACCAAAGTCCTGATTGCATATTGCTGTGAATATTTGCGGATAACGATGGTCAGTAAAACTTTATTTCACACTTGGATTGTTAACGTTAAACTGTGTAATTAGTTCACACGCTTGCCGAACTGTGAGGGGGATTCGTACTGATCACGGATCGACAATGATCCGTTACACCACTAGAAGAGCTAGTGTGTTTTCTGCACATACTTGTATCTACTCAGGATGTCTAGTGTCCCAATCATGACCCCATCTCTCTGTTACTCATAGCCTTGGGATAAAGCAGGATATAAGCTCCTTTGTGTATTTTTAGGGGCCCACATGAATAAATTATAAAAGTATTCAGCAAATGTTTGAACTTGAAAAAGAAAATCTTTTCTATTTCTTTACCTTGTGTGAACCTGAATCAAGTACTATTAATAAACACATTATTTGCTAATTTGATGCTGCTGTGACCCAACAAAAGTAGATTGTGATGCAACAAACGTTGAATGTGATGCAACTAATCCATTTGTAGTGATAATATTGTTCATCTCAGATAGTAATTGTGATCTGTTTTCATCCAGTAACAAATTCTTGAGCTGCTCCATATACAGTGGATGATTGACTCTTACAGGAAACAGGGAAGGGTCTGGTGCTGTGATTTTTGAGGAGCCATCGTTTATGTATGCAGATGCTGACATTGTTGTACAAACCCGTCCACATATGACAATCATTAAAACGTTGTCTAACTCCAGATATACATGACAATAAACAATGGACTTTGGTTGCTAAGCCAGTAAACAAAAATAAAAAAAGAAGAAATTAAATTCTCAGTATGGATACATTACCATATTTGAATCTCGTCAGTGACAGCAATGCATCCATTGTATGTATGTACAGTATAAATAAAAAACACTAGAAGCTAAATATGCATGGCACACTATAATATGCTCACAGTGTTGGATATAACCCATCCTGACTGATGCTTTGTCTGTAAATGACAGATGGTTCACGAGGGTGATTGCATGTTTAAAAAGTCAAAGACCTTTAACACAGGTTACAACCTCTGTCAAATTTAAAAAGTTACGTGAGAGTAATTGGAATATTCAGTTTGTGAGATGTTTTAATTGGTACGCCCACACTGTTCGTTGCTGAATGCGTACACCCTGATTTCTGAGGGAGGCATCCACCAGATTGGTTCAGACACAGGCAGGGCTCCATAAATAAACTCCTCTATTCAGCAGCTCTGCCCGTGCGTCAGCACAAACGTCATTTTAGAGATGGGGACAGGGTATTGGAGAGGAGAAAAGAGGAGAGGAGAGGACTCCTCACAGCTGTGATGTGTTGGGGCTGTTGCTGCTCACAGGCAGATATGCTGTCATTTTCTGTCTTTCACATACAAGGTGAAAGATTGAGGAGAAGAAGAGGCTCCGCTCTGTTCTTCAAAGGCTGTACAGCGTGAAAAGACAGATCTACTCTTTTGTTAGAAATGCACCCAGCAGTGGGCAACCATGGGAGATCTACAGCGGCAGAGTGACTGGCATGCAGCCGTATAGCCTCCACTCTGAGACGACAGATTATTGATTCAGGTCTGGTTTGGCTGGGAGCCTCGTATGATTATGAAATATGGCCGAATGATTTAATAAGGTGACGCTTGGCCTAGTACATGCCAGCTAAACACTTGATGATTGGTGATTGGTCCCTCTTTCTCTCATTCTCTCTCATGTGATGTTTTAGACATTACATCCACCTCTTGTCCTGGGTATTTTGGAAGAACCCATCAGCTCAGCTGCCATTAAAAAAGGCCCGTAGGGCAATTATATATGCTAACACATGCTGTTTAATGGGAAATAGCAGGCTGTTTTCTTATTCCAATGTATAAGACTGTAAATGCGACGGCACTTTGAACGACTACCTAAATTCAAAATAAGACCTCCTTCAGACAGCTTTGTTTTCCACTGATTAACTGCACACAGGTGCACTTATGAAACACCCAGCATGCCAACAAGATGATAATGATGATTAATAATTCTTAGGACAATTAGAGCTGGTTAATTGATAGCTCCTTATATCTTATTTACGCACATCATCTCAAGCCAGCTATAGATACATTGACATAGAAACCTTTTCAACCTGACCTCTCCCCAGACTCTCTCTCTCTCTGTTAGCCAAGGACTCTCTGTTCACAACTCAAGGCAAGGCCGGTGAAGCCTGTCACAAAGTCCGAAAGGAACCCTCACCCCTGACTGCCCAAAAGTTTAAACAGATGTTTAACGGTTGATGACCAGAAAAACACAAGTTCAGCAAAACGCCTGGCTACAGTGCCCTTAGCAAGAAACCTCCATCATTTCACTAAAGGGGATCGATACGGTATCGCAATATAAGCATGATCTGCTTTGGTGCTGGTACGCGTCCTTCTCTCCTCATACCAGCCTTCATCGCCGCGCGGGAACAGCGGTGAGCACTGCACGGCTATCCCGTCCTGAACTGACATTTGCTCCGTAGTCCACCCACACAACCAGTACCAGCACCAGTCTCTCTCTCTCTCTCTCTCTCTCTCTCTCTCTCTCTCTC